CTAAATATTGCATTAAAAGATGCTTTTATTGGGAACTTCAGGGTTTAAACCCATGACAAAAATTAATTTGGAAATACTTTTCCAGTGCATTTGCTGTTTGGGAACCTCTACCTGAAGAGGCTCCTTAAGTATGTAACGGTGTAAAACCAAAATAACATCTAAAATTCAAAGTTTGATCATGCTAACCCTGAAGTTCTCAGGTTTGTGATCCTTTGGGTCTCTCAAGGTAAATCTGGTTGCTTTTCTCGTGCAGTCAAATCCTTCTTTAAAGGTCTTGTTTCTGGAGTTAATGAGGAAAAAGTGGAATGGGTTGATCCATCCTGCTTGGCTTTTTTAACCTATTAATCTTTGGAGTGATCAATTTCCAATTAAAACCCAACTTTTTAGGTCTCTGTTCTACTTAAACCTTTTAGGAGTGAGAGCCTGCCCTCGCTGAGTGGAACTTGGATGGGGAAAGCAGTAGATTACGAGGTTGCTGTTGCTCAGGAATTGATTAGTAAACTTTTAACTACTAATAAAAATCCATTTTGCAATGGATTTTTTTGAAAAACCCATTTTCTTAGGACAGTGATATGGGATGTTTCCTAGTGAATAGGAATTAGTTTATATAATTTAGGCTATTAAACTGAATTATTTAAAATTCAAACTTCCCCTAATTTATCTTTTTTTTTTTTGGTTGATTTTTTTATTTGATACCGGTAAGTTGTCCCATCATTCCTTTCATTCTTCCATAGAAGTAGTGTGAATTCTGATGTGTATATATGTATGTATAATATATATATTTCCACCCTGCCTTTCCACAATGTAAGAGTTAGTTTTTGCTCCCCTTCCCTCCACTTAATTTCTTGTGTCTTTCCCTTGATTTGTAATTGAAATGATGCTTTGAAGTTTTGTCTTTATATTAAAGTGTCTGTATTTTAATACACTGAGCTGGTGTGAGTCTCATTGCTTCGGCCGCACAGGAGGGATGGAATGTGCCCAGGAATGGGATGTGGGCACCTGGGGCACAGCAGGGACAGGGCCCCTCTGCTCCTCTCCCCCATGCTCTGAACGAGGCAGCACCTCCAGCTCTGAGGGTTTGGCACTGCTGAAGCCTCACCTCAGGTCCTGTGTCCAGTTCTGGGCCCCTCAGGACAAGAAAGACGTTGAGGGGCTGGAGTGTGTCCAGAGAAGGAGCTGGGCAAGGGACTGGAGCACTAGGAGCAGGTGGGGGAGCTGGGGGAGCTCATCCTGGGGCAAAGGAGGCTCGGAGGACATTATGGCTTTCTACAGCTCCCTGACAGGTGGTGCAGTCAGGTTCTGTTCCCAGGGAACAAGGGACAGGATGGGAGGACTAAGCCTCAAGTTGTGCCAGGGGACGTTGAGGTTGGATATTAGGGAAAATTTCTTCACAGAAAGGGCTGCCCAGCCCTGGCACAGGCTGCCCAGGGCAATGGTGGTCTCACCATTCCCTAGAAGTGTTCAAAAAAGATGTGGCACCTGGGACATGGTTAGTGCTGGGTTTGGCAGGGCTGGGTCAACAGTTGGACTCTGTGATCTTCAAGAGCTTTTCCAACCCAAGTGATTCCATGATCCTGTGGCTCCCCAACCCACTCAACTGCCATTCCTTTTTAGCCAGCAGTGTCACCAGGAGAATAGACCTGCAATGGCCAGGGGATGTATTTAAACATTGGAGCTGGAGGCTTTAACACTGCCTAAGCTAATTCTCGGGTTCTTAAACTGAGGTGCAGCTCCAGCTTCAACCAGTGCTTCACCCACAGCTCCTGGCTCCGCTGGGCTGCAGCCACAGCCTGACCCACCTCCTTATCCTGGGCATGTTTGTCACTGGAGCCACTGCCTTGGCTCCATTAGCAATAACATTAGTTGGACTAGATGACCTTTAATGGACTCTTTCAATCCAACCTAGTCTATGATTCTATGAAAAAGCCTCTCAAAAATCCCATCATGAAACCACTCCCAGCTGGTTCCTGAGCAGGGACTGTCACCCAAGCCCCTGCTGCTGCTCCAGGGACTGATGGTACCATCTCGCCAGGGCAGCTGCTGCTCCTCCATGGGACACCCCTGAGAGACCACCTGGAGCTGCTGGTGGTCAGGGGAGACACCTGGTCCCCCTGGGCAGGACCCTGAGCTCCCTACAGCCACCTCTCCCTGTGAAAGCTTTTGATGTCATAGAACAGCTCTGACTACAAAGATTACAACAAGATTTATTGGCAATGTTCACTGCAGAAGAGAGAAATGGCCTCAGCTGGCTCTCAGGGAGCCTGGGCACAGCTCCTGATGAAATACAAAAAGCAAAGTGACCAGAGTGTAAAAAATGAAAAACTGTCTATAAATCACCAGAAGCTGATGCAGATTTTGAAGTGTCTACAAGTACCTTCTCCCCTTACTGCTAAATCCCTGCCCAAGTCCCAGCCCTAACCTAGAGTAGATCTGAGTTCCTGGGCCTGCCTTGACCCTGTAATTCACAGCATTTGTCTTACATTCAGTTAAGAAATGTCATTGGTGCCTCTTAAAGGAGTGTTGGGGTTTGCTCTTGCTCACCCAACTGTTCCCCCAGCACAGCAAATAAAATGCCCAGTTTCTGTACAGTGATGATTGTTGGTGGCAGCTCCACCTCAGAAAGGTGTGTCCAGGGAAGAGCCCAGTGAGTCCTGCAAGGCATACAGGTGATAGATGGCTGCTACAGAGCTGTCTGGCAGGAAGCCTCACTGTGACACCACAGGTCTGTTGGCAAAAAATGCTCTGATATCGGCAGAATTCCCAAGGTTTGGTTAGATCCAGGCTGAACTCACATTGAAGGATTCACTAATGCTGATCCCCATGGAGGTGAGCTTGGATGTGGCTGTTCTGCCCCTGGAGCTGGAGCACATGGGCTGTGGAAGGGCTCCTAGAGCTGTGAGACCACAGCTGCTCTGCTGGCATGGAGCTGTGATAGCTGTGTGAGGATCCCTCAGCAGCTCTCCTCACACTGGACAGCTAAGATACCTCTGTGGGGAGCCCTTGGCTGCTCTCCTCACACTGGAGCTATGAGTCCTGCCTGGGGACTCCATGGATGCTCTGCCCAGTTGAAGCACAGCTCTAGTTATCCCACTGCTGACCCGAAACACATCCTCTCCCAGTGCCCAGACAAATCTCTTTTCACAGCAAGCAAAGCTGCCACATCCCCCCAGCAGATCAGGCACGTGTCTCTGTGCTGAGGTAAAGCAGAGCAGCCCTGGTGAGGATTAAAATGCACTTTAAAGTCAACTGAGGACATCATTCCCTAAAGCACAAGCTCTTGTGTGTTCCTGCCTTTAATCCCTTGCTACCCCCTAGCACTGCCACCTGGCTGCAAACCCTTCTGGAACCTCTCCCTCCTTGCCTGTGGCTCATCCCACAGGACAGCTGCCCCTCAGCTGATTTTGGTAAATTCCAGAGCAAGCACCTGGAATGACTGAAGAGAAAAACCTTGGCTTTGAGATTTAAATTAAAGCATCAGTGACAGCTGTCACTCTCCTGGTGCTCAGAGGATGAGGTAAAGAGGGAAGGCCAGGCTACTAAAGCATGCAACATGGCTCATGTTTGACCATTAATTCCCAGACAAGAAGGACCAAAACTTCCCTTCCAGCCCAGCTCAGAGGCTGCTCCACCCCACCCCATGCTGCTGGCCCTGTGCTGGTCAGCTGGAGAGAACAACATCCAGAGCTGCAGCCCCCAGCGCTTAGGCCAAGCTCCCACCCTGCCCCAGCCGTGAGCTGTGTTCCCTCTGCCATCGATCCTCTGACACTGTCACCCGGGACCTTCCCAGGGGGTCTTTCCTTGGGGTTTTCCTCCAGAGGAGCTGCTGTAGCAATCAGGAATCTGAGTGTCCTGCAGCCCTGGGTGTGGAGAGTGTCCTGTCCCTCATCTCTGGGCAGTTTTCCTTTGTGCCCTGGCTGCTGATGTAGGCATGTTGTTCCTTAACCCTTATCTCTTGCTCACAGGAGCCCCTTTTCCCTGGCAGCTCCCCGTGACCTTGGCAGTTTTTTGGTCTTTCCCTTTGGCCCCTCACAAAGGGGATAGAAACTGCGGCAGTGGCTCAGGGGAATGAAGGGTTAATGCCTGCCTGTCACATGCTGAACTAGTGCATGTCTTGCAGCTCAAACCTCCAGCCACATGGAGCAGTTCCTGCCTTTGCCAACCTCTCCATCTGGCTTTCCTCCCTGGGAAGCAGGATCACTGCAGAGCTCAGCCCAGCCCACAGCTCTGCAGAGAGGGATCTCTCTCTGTCTCCACTCCCTTTTTCTCTGCAGCTTTGTTCTCTTGGATGGGCTGCAGTGTGGGCTTCATCCAGTCTCCAGGAATTAACAGCCCAGGCGAGAGAGAAAGAAACAACCCCCAGAGGCAACTGCCAGTGGCTGCACAGGCACTGCTACCCTACCTTGGCACAGGGGAGTAGATGCCTCCTTCCCATCAGCTGGAGCTGCTGCTGAGCTCTCCCAGTGTTACTGGGAGGATTCCCACTCCTTCCTGCTCACCATCTCAGCCATCAGCCCCATAAAGCCTCCAAATGCCTTTGCATCAGCAGGAGAAGGCAGGAGAGGGTTAACACTGAAGCACAGAAATGCACTCAGAGCATCCTCTTACCGCCAGGGATGAAAAGCCCTGCTGGGAAAATCCTGAGCCAGAACAATCCAAGCAGCTCCCTCAGGAGAGGGAGGAGGAGGAAAAGGGCTGGAGCTGGCTCAGGGCCGGCCCCAGCAGCTGCAGGCACTGGAGGAGGACAACAGGTGCTGGGAGCTCTGTCAGTCCATGCTCTGCTCCCCCCAGGACCAGGGGGCTCTGCTCCCACTGCAGTGGCAGCTCCATGGCCCAGGCTGCAGGTAGCACTTCAGCCTCCACAACTGGGGAAGTGGGAATGTGCCATCAATTCCCTTAAAAAAGGGATACAAAATGATTTAGCTAATAAATAAGTCACTTGGTCACTGGGGAATTGCTGTCCTTCCTGGGGGGTTGGGGTGGCCCTGGGGCCGGGAGCCAGCTCAGCCCAGGTGAGGGTGGTGTGCTCCCAGCTGGAAACGTGCTTCCTCCGAGATCCCATACTGCTCCAGGGGGTCCTGTAGGAGAGCACAGGGAGGCACCGGTGAGATGCAGACGAAGGGTGCAGAACGTCCTGCAGCCCTCAGGGAGGACACAGCAGTACCCAAGGTCTGTGGTCAGTCCATGAAGGCACAAGAGTGCACAGGTGAGCTGCAGCAGCATCACAGGGATGCTCCAAGGGGCCTGGCAGGGTGTGAGCAACATCTCCACCCATGGATCTGGTCAGGCTGGTGGTGAACAGTTCCAGAGAACTGGTGGGAGTCCAGGCCAGCCCAGGCCAGGCCTGTCCACCTCCAAACCTTGGGCCACTCCAACACTGGAGTGTGTGTTGAGGGTTGGAATGAGCATGGCAGTGCAGCTCCTTGGCAGAGGAAGGTGCCCCGGTCTGGCTGTGGAGACCATGACTTACTATGGGATCTGGGATCTCCTCCCCACACACAGCAGCCAACAGCCATGATCACCAGCCCCTGCAGCAGTCCAAACTCATCAGTCACCCCCTGGCAAGTGACTTCAAGGGACTCACTCACCTTCCCTGTCATCTTCTGGATCTCATTCCGATAGAAGATCAAACTCCTCCTCATGAACTCGTAGCTGTAAGACAGGAACAAACCATGAGGAAGGCTGAGCAGAGAAGAATGTGGGGAAGTTTCAGACGCTATTTAGAGCTGGAAGGAGACAGTTGCTGGGACAGGAGCCTGGGAGGAGACAGCTGCTTCCATCCCGAGCTCCCCACAAGCTGATCCCAGAAAACAGAGCACAGAGCAAATGGCACAGCCCTCATTCCCATGGCTCTTCCTACCTGGCTCGTTTGAGTGCCTCAACCCACTCCTGACACTGCTCCTCACTGGCACACTCAAAGCAGTATTTCATCTCTGGCTCCTCGATGAAACCTGCCAGGGACAAGGAAACGGCTTGAGGCAGATCCTGTTAGAGCTGCCTGTGCTCCTCTGCCTCCCTCTCTGCCAGCAGCCAGGCCACAATTAGCATGTCTGTTAATGAAGATGAGCTGTGAACAAGCCCATAATCCCACCCTCTGGTCCCTCTCCCATTCCTTGTGTGGCTCCTGGTGGCCTGGAGCAGCTGCCCACAGCATTTGTCAGCTTACAGCAGCCAAAGTCCTCAGGAAGAGCAACTTCCCACACTGAGAGCCGCAGCTCAGAACCGAACTGGACCAACATGGCCAGATCCAGGACTGAAACTCCCTGAGGCTCCTTGCATAGTCTCCAGAGATTTAAACCAAAGTCGAAAATGTCCCCAAGGAAGGGATTGGGATATATGCAGACAGCAGGCAACTGAGGACTTAAACTGCACTGGGAGAAGGCGTGGACCTGCCTTTGCTGGAGGCTTTTGGGAATGCAGCACTGTGCACAGTGGAGAGCAAGTCCCTGTGCAACTCTGGTTCTTTATCGAGACAGAATCAGGACATCTCATTAATTCCTGTCCCCAAAGCTCTGCTCTTTGCTGCCGAGCCCTCAGGGGCCTGGGCCGCTGCTGCCAAGAACTGGGTCAGGCTGCACCACCCCCAGACACAACCCAACACCAGCTGCCATCAGGGTTAACACTTTCCTCAGCAATCCTCATCCACCAGAGCTCCAGATAGCCCTAAAGCCCTGAAATTCAGCCTGTGTTGTTCTCAGAGCAGTGTGCTCAGGATGTCTAAGTGTCTTTGGAGGCAGAGAGAGCATCAGCTCTGGCTGAAAGAAAAGACACGGCCCTGCACAGACACAGCTGTGCCCGACAGCCAGGCCAAAAGATATGGGAATGGCCTTGGAGAAACATCCTGTTATTCTGGCCACATACCTCTGGCACAGGGATTAGTGCTGGATGAAAGGCTGTTCCCAGGGGACAGCACAGCTTGTCCACAAGGACAAGGCTGGAACAGCCCCACAGGTGCTTTATCTGAGCCTCACTTTGCTTTTGGCTCCAATGCAGCAGCACAGCAGGGATCTGTCAGTACAACCCCCTCAGAGGGATTCCATGGCTCTGAGCAGGGTCTTTGTGGTCTTACTGCTGTTCTGCAAATCCCACAGAGTGTTCCAGCCAGCCATGGAATATCCCTGAAATATCCCTATCCTGGAGATGGGGCACAGGCTGGCACTGAGGAGGGCATGGTTCAGGGATAGAATCATGGAATTGTTAAGGTTGGAAAAGCCTTTTAAGATCATGAAGTCCAACCATCAACCCATCGCTGTGTTCACCACTAAACCACGTCCCCAGGTGCCACATCCACATGTTGTTTGAACACTTCCAGGGATGGTGACTCCATCACTGCCCTGGGCAGCCTGTGCTAGTGCTTCAAAACCTTTCTGGAAAATACATTTTCCCTAATATTCAATCTAAACCTCCCTTGGCATAACTTGAGGCCATTTCCTCTTGTCCTGTTGCTTGTTACCTGGGAGAAGAGACCAACTCCACCTGAGGGGCACTGACCCCACCAAGGAGAAGGGCTGAGGAGCAATGACCCCAGTGAAGAGGAGGAGGAGAAGGGCTCAGGGACACTGATCCCACTGAGGAAGGGTTGAGCTGACCCAATTGTTTCCAAAGAATCAATCAAGGGAAAAGCAGGAACTGAGCAGTCAAACATTCCCTTTCAGGTAGCACTGTCTGCCACGAGGGAAAGGCAAAGGGATGCACACACAGCACTCACTGATGGAGAAGACATTCTCCTCCTCTTTGGTGATCCTGCAGTGCTCCAGCAGCAGAGCTCCAATGGGCTGGAAAAGACATGGAGAGAGGGTGTTACCCACAGTGCCCCCAGCACAATGAAGGATGAACCTACAGCGTTTTCCTGGAGTCATTTAAGCAAGTTTCATGCCCTGGTGCTACCTGTAAATAATTCAGTCTGACTACACCATGTTCCTTTCATCAACCTCATGATGCCTGTGATGTGCCTCATGTGCCAGTCTTACCTGTAGCACTTTGAATGTGTTAATTAGGTGTTTAACACTTCTGCTTGCTCAGGTTCAGCCGGGAATTTAGTGCTCCTTTCTGTGATGTGAAGTCAGCAAAAAACTTTACTTTCTTGCTTGGCAAATCAAACAAAGATGAAGTGTTTACCATAACACACGGAACAACCCACACTGTGCTGGCTAAGGGCTGTTGTGGAGAGGTTAACAGTATGTGGTGAGCTGGAACAGCTCAGGATGAGCAAACAGACACCAGGGACTGTTTTCTCACCAGTGCACACTGAGCAGACATGGAAACAGTGCGAGACACTGACCATAAATGAGAGCTACTCACAGGGAATTCTTGTCCAAGCAATACAACATGCGAGAGGCAAATCAGGCTGGGACTGAACACCTGATTGACTGTGTATTTCACAGAGCAGTTTGGGTTGCAGGGACCTTAAAGCTCATCCAGTCCCACCCTCTGCCATTGGCAGGGACACTTTCCACTAGCCCAGGTTGCTCCAAGCCCCATCCAACCTGGCCTGGAACATTCCCAGGGTTGGGGCAGCCACAGCTTCTCTAGGCAACCTGTGCCAGTGTCTCACCACTCTCACAGGGAAGAATTCCTTCCTAATATCCCATCTGACCCTGCCCTCTGGCAGTGGGAAGCCATTCTCTGTGTCCTGTCCCTCCAGGCCCTATTCCAAAGTCCCTCTCCATCTCTCCTGAAGCTAAAGGAAGAGGAAAGATCAGCACTCTGCCCCAGTGCCACTTTCCCAGCCCACACAGTCCATGCACAGAAAGAAGAGGGAGGAAAACAAACCCCACCACAAAGCAGAACCCTTACCTCTGCCTCATCCGTGCGGAAGTAGAAGAGAAAGTTGACCACAAGCTTCACCAGACGTTTCTTCAGCACTGCAAAGAGAAGAGGTTGAAGGGGGCAGAAAGGCCAAGGTAGCTGGCAAGGGGGCGTAGGGCAGCCCTGTCAGAACCCAAACCAAGGGCATTGACCTGGGGGCTGCCCCTCGGAACAGCAGTCCCAGGGAGACAAAGTCCCTGTGAGGCTCCTCCAGTGGCTCCTGGGCAGTCAGAACCTGTGGCAGTGCCACACTAACATGGCCTGGCTGAAGGAAGCTCAAGAACCCCCAGGGAGAGTTCCAAATCCCAGGGAGAGCTCCAAATCCCAGGAGACCCTGCCTGAGACTATCAGCACAGGTGTCACCTCTGAGGGACAAAGTCCACCAGGTCTTTGAGGGAAGGAAAGGTCCAGGCCCAGGGAGTGAGTGGCTTAACCCTCCAGGGCTGGTTTGCAAGGGAATGTCCTGGGAAATTTCAGGGAAGAGCCTCTTCCCAGGTCCCCTGGTCCCTCGTGGCCCCCCTAGACCTCGATGTCCCCAGCTGCACCCACTGCTCCAGCCCAGTCCCAGAGCCTCCCTGCAGCCCCCAGCCCTGCACCCCCCAACTGTGCTCCCCAGCCCTCCCAGTCTGTCCCTAGTCCTGCCCAGTATTCCCCCACTTCTGTCCTGGCCCTGCATCCCAGTTTCCCAATCATGACTTTCGAGTACCCTCAGTTCTGCCCACCTAACACAGACAGTCCTAATCTCTCTCCCCACTCAGTACCTCCAGTCCTGCCCTCTCAGGGCAACCAGTTCTCCCAGTGCCTTCCCACCCTGTACTCCCAGTCCAGGTCTTGGTCCTACCCCCAGCTTCCCAGCCCTCATTCTCCAGTACCCCTAGTCCTGCCTCCCCAGTACAGCCAATCCTAACTCCCCCTCCCCTTCCAGTGCTGCACAGTCCTACACACCAGCCCTCCCAGTCTGTTCCCAGTCCTGCCTCCCAATACCTCCAGTCCACCTCCCAGGGCACCCACTTCTCCCACTCCTTCCCCAGCCCTGTCCCTAGCAACTCCAGTGCTGTCTCTCCAGTACCCAAAGTCCTGTCCCACCAACACAGACAGTCCTAAATCCCCCTCCCCTCTCCTCCCAGTGCTCCCCAGTCCTATCAGTCTGTCCCCAGTCCTGTCTCCCAGTACCCTCATTCCTAACCTTCAGGGTGCCCAATTCTGTACTCCCTGTCCAGTAATCCCCAGTCTTTATTCTTTTCCTTGTCCTACCTCCAGTTTCGCAGTCCTGATTCTCCAGTACCTCCAGGGCACCCAGTTCTTCCAGTCGTTCCCCAGCTCCGTCGTCGCACCGACTCAGCCCTGATCCTCCAGTACCTCCAGTAGTGACCTCCAGGGCACTCAGTTCTCCCAGTCTCCACTCCCCCAATCCCTCCCCAGCCCTGTATCCACCAACTCCAGTCCCTCAAGGCACCTCCAGACCTACCCCCAGATCCC